TTTTGGTGGGGTGTTTAATTTGTTTAGTATATATGTGAGATTGTGTGTAAGAGTGGTATTTGCAAAACTTTAACGATCTCAATTTAATGTAATTTTTAATGTGTTTTACTTAAATAAGTATTTATTGCGTTTTAGTAGTTTTTAATGGCATCTGTTCACAGTTCTGCAATTACGCACTTATTCGACAAACCGAACATAATATCAATATCGGTGTAAAATATATTATATTTAAAATATTACCACAATACTACGCACATGACTTTGCTGTTGATGTTCTTGTTAGTTTGATTTGCTGAGGTCGCAAGTAAACAAAGGCAGAGCATATGATATGTACATAGAAGTAGAGTATGTTTATTTACAATTTACATACAAGTCAAGAAAAGAGAGAGGAGAAAGTATGTTGATTAGGCCATAATAAATGTAAATATCGGGATACTACGACGGCAACTACGAATCATAAGCGAACGTTGCAGGTACAAACTACGCGATAACTTCATGGTGCATTGGCGCTACAGGTTACGGATTTGCGATGGGGCTACGGGGTTTACGGGTTAGCGATTACGGATTTGCGATGCATCAGGTGCTTCTAGGCTTACTTACTCCACGGGTGCGGAGGATTCGGTTGCGGGTGCGTCTGTTGCTGGTGCGGATGCGGATTCAGATGAAGGCTCGGCAGCCGGAGGAGCAGGTGCATCTGCAGCGGGCGCATCAGCAGCAGGTGCCTGCGAGACCTCGGCACTGAGCAGCACCATCTCCTCCAGCGAGGGTTTCGGAGTCGGTGGGCTCTCCTCCTCGTTGGCCAGTGCCCTTTCGATCTCCGGCTCTGGTGTGGAGGTCTTCAGGCTGTCCGTATCTTCTTGCAGCTTGGGCGTCGGTGCTCGGGAACTGCTCATCGCTGCCTCTACCGGATCTGTTCTCGCTTCGGATTCCGGCGGCTCTTCCAGGTGCAGACCCTCCATCACCTTGTGCTTGGCCTCGTCCAGAGCCTGAGTGCCCTCCTTGAAGGCGTTGCCCAGCTCAGTGGTAATTCCCGCCACCGCCGTGCCAACGGTCTCCTTGGCCGTGTCCAAAGTGGTGGTCAGCGTTTCGGAGGCGTCTGCAAGGAAGTCACGGGAATGAAAGCACTTTCAATCGCCGCTTTCCAAGGTGAGTGCTAACATATAGTATATAAATGTGCAGTTGGAAAATAATTATCGTACAGCACTCCTACGAAAAACCACGTTTTACTTGTTTAAACAATAAATTTAAAAATTTTTGTTAAACCATATAGGCAAAGAAAAATGTTATTTCTTTTTAAAAAAGCAATTTACAAAACAGAGCTTAGTCCGCATTTGATAATAGTACTTTCCCTCAGTGCACATGTACGTATAATATGTGTAAGTCAATGTTTTTGCTCTAATTCGTTGACGTCTGGTCACGCAACCAAGTCGTTTTTCTTCATATGCGTTAAATAAATGTATAAAAATATGGTCGACTGATGGCAATGGAGCCAGCTTTCACTTGCGACCCTCTGCGAGGCGGCAGAAAGGCAAAAAATCAGGCCAAAAAAGGCTGCGCGGCACGCATTGCGCTGGCCAATTGTCCTTTATTACGTGGCTTGTTATTATAATAATGCGAAGTGCGACCACATTTATTACGTACATTGCGCCTGGATGTATCGAATTTCTTTCGGCATTAAGTGGGAATTTACTGGCTTGTCGGAGGCCGGTAATTAGCTGGATTTAATATTGATTTGGGCATGGGGTCAAGGACTTTATTTAATCTAGGCAAGAGTATGAAGAGCACTTCGTGTTGGCCACCCAAAGCCATCAATCATTGGGGAACTACTAAAAGGGAGATGTTGTAGGTCTCTCTAATTAGTTGGTAATACTAGCAGCACATTTAAAACAAATAAACCAATAAAATTGTAGAATCCTTAATATCGCATATTTTACTTTGGATCTAGGACTGGCCTTCGCAGAAAATTAAGTATCCGCTTCAAATATCAAGTATACGCCGCAAAGTCCCATCGACTGCACACTCCTAAATGTCATCTGCTGGCCACAACCTAAACTAATGGCCAGCACGGATTGGTAACACACACACACACACACACACACACACACTGCAGCACAAACACACACCTTCCACGACGGCCTCGCCCTTCTGTTTGACATGGCTGGCGGCTTTCAGCATTTCGCTGCCCGCCGTTGCAACCATGGGAGTGCTGCTGGCACAGCCCATGACTTCTTCTCAATTCGAGCCAGACAATCGCCGAACCATGCCGATCGGAGCGGGTATCGATGTGGATTGGTTTAGCAACAGCCGAGGATTTATTTATACCGAATATGAATATGATTATGAATTGGGTATAAGAAATACGCCCGCCTTTGGTCACGAACTCAACGCAACTGAGCACTGACCCAAAACATTCGCTGCTAAAGTGAAGGGTCAGTTTGGCACTCGACCACCGCCGACAATCCCCATTCACATCCCTACCATTTGCCATTTACTGGGCACGCAACAGGACCGGACCGTTCTGAACAGTGGAGCTCCACAGTTTGCATGTGCGTTTGCACTTCAAGTGAAGTGAAATTGCTGAGGTCATGCGCGTTGGGCGCACACTTACCATAGTCATAGTTAAGGTAGTTATAGGCCAAAAGCTAAAAGGGTTCTAGGTCTGCGCCAAAATAAGGTGGGGCGCTCACGAGCAAGGACTTAGACCAGGGAGTACCTGTTACTTAGATGAATTACAAAACTTTATTCAGAAATTGTGCAGAATAAATTATTTAATCAGTGTAATCAGTTTGATTGAGCGTGTACATACTGTACCATACAAGTTGGGGAATCTAACATATTTAGGAGATTGGAATATAGTGAAAATTTAGTCACAGTTACAACACCTTTAATTAATCTTCAATACCATGTAAAACGTATGATTCAGTAAATTGCATTGCTATTAATTTTGTTTATAAGTATATGATAATTGTTGGAATAATGTTTGCAATCGAATGATTACCGACCTAGAGCATCACTTAGGGGCAGGTATACCCTGGTAACCTGCGAGTACCCGGCACAAAAGTGAAAACACAACGGAGAAAGTGAAGAACCAGGCTTCAGATACAAAATCCTAAGCGTGTGTGTGTGTGTGTGTAAGGGGGTAGCGTGTCGGGATACGCTTCGTCCGTCCGATAGGTGGCGTGTGCAGTCGCTTGCCCACATTCCTGACGTGGGCTTGTGTGCTTGTCTGTTGGTCAATAAAGGCTCCAGTCGGTTATTATTATTTTTAGAACGCTGCACGATGTCCAATTGTTGCTCTAATTTCCATATGGGTTTTTGCCCGTGCCCATGAATGAAGCGAAATGTCCGGCTGGGCTGACAGTTCCAATCAGATAAAAACTATGCAATCGATTCGGCATATTCCTGTTGTATGCAAATCGCCTGATTGCGCTAGATTTTACTGAGGCCCACATTGCCGCACAGAGATGATCGTGAATGGGCCCTTCGAAAAGATTGATTTTTGATTTATTTTGACTGAACACTTTTTGGCCAGGTTTTTTTTTTACATTTTTTTCTGCAATCGATTGGCTCTTGGGGCGCTGTATGCCTATTTCTGCCGTTCGGTGATTTATGTCAGTCAAGCAGTGACAGCGCTTTTCATGAGCCAATAAAGTTGTCCATGTCGCTTTGTCATATTCATATATCATGGCCGTACACCCGGCGACTTATGTCACATTCACATGGCCCAAGAAACTGGAGTATCGAGCAGAGCCTGCGCATAAACGAGGCCTAAGTGCGCGATCGAGAGACGTCGTCCGCAATGGTGAGGGTGACAAAACACAATTTGGCCAGGCCAAACAAACAGTCAGACGGACAGACAGACCTATAACATACAAGTACAAACAAACCAGCTCGAAAAGTCGCATATAAATCAGCACACGCAGCTGGTTCATTAGACTCTCCACTTCGGGCACTTGGCAGTGCCATTTGGCTTGACATTAATTACATAAGCTAAGCGGTGCTTAATTATGTGCTCAACAATAGAGCAAAAGTGCTCGGGACCCAGTCGACCAATCTTGTGATGTAATGGCCTCCCCCGTGCGAAAGTTTCGCCTCTTAACACTCCGCCAATATCTCGAGTTCCGATGGGCAATTTGTTTACAGATGTGCTTCTTCGGAAATCAAAGAAATAATGTGCAATCGTTGAAATGATACTTAATTGATTTCAGTTGATATTTTACACTCAGCATTAGAGGGTGCGCAGTATCAGAGTTGATTAATATGATTAACTAAAGAACTCATACCAATGTTGAGTATTGCAGTATTAAAAAATTATAATCATGCGTTATTTTTGAACGTTGCTCTAATCTTCAAGACTTTTGCCATCCTAACATATCTGCTGTCCCATAAAAATGTTGAAAAGAATATTAAATGTAAATATACGCGTAAAATTTGAGTCAAACTAAAAATGAAAAAGCAAATTTATTGATGTGTTGAGGGATGGAATAAATGGTTGTAGAGTGTGCGAAGCGAAAATGCTCTATGAGTATTTGCATCTGAAACAGGTAAATGTGGGTGTAAAACTATAGTGTCTGACAAATACTAAATATACACTGAACTAAATTTAAGTTTTAGGCGCAGCCCTTTTTAGTGTATTCCATTATGTTCGATTAAAACCCATTTGTAATAATCTACAGAGTGACTGATACAGAATGATATAAATTATGTTAGAGACTACCGCATTTGACAGCTGCTGAAGGATCAATGCGATCAAGTTCAATGGATGACGGAACCTCATTAATTTTCACAGCCCAATGCTAATGATAATACCGTGGGTAAAAATAGCCTCCCTCTTTACGTCCCTCTCTGGTGACATTTGTGTGCTCTCGCACTAATTTGCTTTATGATATCAATGAAATATCAGCATATATACACCCATAAACATGCAGATATATATATATCTTTGGAGACACCGAAAAACTGTTTCTCGTTCCCTTCGAGAAAAGTCAGAATTTCTTTGGCTCCTCAGTCTTTCCTGGCCTCTCGACGGAACCGGTGCGTTTTCCAAAATAAAACTACATATTGTTGTACTATCTAAAACTACGGAAGTATATATACTGATTGGTTTAATGTGTTTTACATTAATTAAAGTAGTGAAATCCTCTGTGAACTCTAATTGCAAAAAGTGCTCTCGTTTGATGTAAAACTGACACTTTTCCTTCACGAATGACCTGTGCATATATGTAAAAAGTGTTGAACATGTGCTATTTATAAAGCCGCCTTAATCTTAATGGCTTTGTTCCTCTACGAGTATATGCCTCTACATATATAGATCTTGTCCCATAAATATGTTGGAGAACAAATAAAAAAGAAACGAATGTCGTGAAATCTTATTAATGTATTCTTTTTTATAAAATCTGAACCCAACAACTCTTCAGAAGTGAGAGTGGAAAGGTGTGTGGAAGCTGTTCTATAAGGATTGGATTAGGGCTGCAGAATGTGGGCGGCGAAATATGTTTTATGCGCGCTAGCATGCGTTGCATTTGCTTCAGGTGAGTGTGGGTGGAATCGAAAATATTTCACTGATTTTGTGGAAATGGGAAATTTATTGGGTGGCTTACAAGGAATTTTGGGATTGGAAAAGATTATTATAGTTTGGATAGCGCTTTTTTGGCTTATAGCTTATCGGTTGGGTATTACAAAATATATTCGAAATTATATCATTTAAGTCATGTTGGCCTCACTCCTATTTAATATACATATAACCTTCCTTTAAAAATTTAAGTATATCTATATTTTTTTAATAACGAAAATGTGTCCTTTCAAATTTTTAAGATTTAATTAAACAAATCTTAATTTATCTAAAACCCCAGCGTATTTTTTGGTTCTTTTCAAATGTATATCTATTGACCATTAAAATGTCCACAAAATTACCATAAAGACCGTTTGGTTTATAGCTAATGGAGCATATATTCATAGTTTTATGACACGCTCTTCGGAAAATGTGTAATACCAAATAGTCATGGATAAGCAAAATGTTACTCACCAAATTACCGGCCGGCTTTTTCAGTGAAAAATGAAAATATACAAACTGATCGTAAATCAAAACAATGCAAATGCCAAAATGACAAATTAAATTTTAGGAATGAAAAAGCTTTTGGCAACGATTCAAAAGATTGATTCACCTAGTTTTTATGGGTTTCCCCGTAAAAGCTGAGACTCTAGGATTGTATTAGTGGTTCTTTTTTTTTACATTTTTGGGTGAGTGTGAACAGCTGTTTGTGGCATGGAGCGGCCACTAAAATATTTTATTGCCGTTGGATTCTGGTGAGAAATCTAATAGTGCACTACAAAATGCTGGATGCACAACACGAAAAATCGTTTATGTTTATGGTTGGGGCATGTTCATTTTGTGATCTTTTAACAACTTTAATGTTATAAAATCGCACAATCTTTCAGAACTTATATTTTCAATACCTGGAAATACTATTTCATAGACCCTTAAATTTACACAGCTAATTTTCTGATAAAAATATATGTACTTCCATTTCTATTAAGCATCTCCAAGCTCTGGGCGAAAAAGGAAAAATGTTATGGATATTCCAGAGGACCCCCTAGTTCCTGTCTCTGTGGCTGCTACCTTGGACATGAGCTGTTCGGCGGCCAAAATCCTCCCACCGGAGATTAGCCACGGTAGGGTGTCCCTTTTCGATCGACGCAGGAGGGGCAAGAAGGTCTTCCTCGTGGCATTTTTCGTGTGCGATGATAACTACGAATTTGAATCCGGAAACTCGGAAATGTTTTGCTCGAACCAAAAGTGGGTGGGTGAAATACCCACCTGCATTCCCCAGCATGATTATGTGGAACCAGATGAAAAAATGGAATCGTATGAGGACTACAATGCGTACGACAGTGATATCGAGGAAAGCGGGATTGACGAGGAGGAGGATCCAGAGGATAGTGAATGGGAACCACCATCACCAACACCGCTACTGGATTCCAAATCCAGGCCAGAAATGGAAAATGATAATGAAGAGAACAAGATTGTGCCTAATGACGATGAGGATGAGAAGCCAGGCGATAGCGAAAGGAAACCACCGCCGCCACCACCACCACCCGTAGTGGATGGAGCCGAATCCAGGCCTGAACCAGATATAGTTATCGACATTGGTGATGGTCCAGCGAATGAAATCGTTGAACCAGAACTTCCCAAGAATTTGGCTGAAAACGAAACTCCACTGGAACCCGAAGTGCATACTGATGTACTGAACTCTGGCAATGCATCTGTTGAGACCACCAAAGATCCCTATGAGCCAACACTCTTGGATAACAATTGTGGAGAAGACAATGGCGGCTGTGAGCAGATTTGCAAGCGATTGCTTTATCCAGATGAAAACCAGCCCGTCAATAAATGCGATTGTCGAGAAGGTTATACCCTGGATCCTACCGATTACGCTAGCTGTCTTGGTGAGTCTATTATATAAACGTAAATTAATATAATAAACTAAGCAATGTTATCATTCTTGAAGATATCGACGAATGCCTGGAATCGAATGGTGGTTGCTCGGAAATTTGCGAAAATCTTCCAGGAGAATATAAATGTAGCTGTCAAGAAGGTTATTACTTAGATGATTCAGGAATGAATTGTGCTGGTATGTTTTTATAATTGATATTTAAGAAAGAAATGTGCACATTAAATGGTATATATTTCATTGCAGACATTGATGAATGTGCCAATTCCGAGCTGTCATCCGATTGCCATGGTGGTTGCGAGAATCTGCCTGGCTCTTATCGCTGTGTGGAGCCGCTGGTGGAGAAGCCTGATACCACTGAAGTCGTGGAGAATCCCATCGAGGAGGGCAATGAAATCCCAGAGAAAAGTTCCGAAGTACAACCCGCTGGAAAATCATGCAATTCTGGCTTTCAACTGTCCGCCGACGGCACTGATTGCCAGGACATTAATGAGTGCGAAGTAGAAGGTCCGGAGGATCTCGATAATAACGCGGTCTGTCAGCAAAAGTGCGAGAATACAATTGGATCATTCCGTTGTTCCTGCGCTGAGGGATATCACCTGCTCGAGGATCAGCGAAGCTGTGCCTGGGATACCTGTGCGGACCTGGAGAAACCCCAATTGAATCGCACTCGATGTGCCCACGAATGCCAGGACTTGCCGGAGGGAAGCTACCGATGCGTGTGTCCCAAGGGCTATGAACTATCAGAAAATCAGCATTCCTGTTTGGTGCAAGAGTCTCCTTGCACCACAGAAAAGGGAGCTGAGAAGTGCTCTCCGGGAACCTGTCTAGCCAGTGAGGATAATGCCAGCTTCAGTTGCATTTGCCCAACGGGTTATCGCAGTGGGGTATCCAGTTGCCAGGACATTGATGAGTGCGCAGAGGACATGCATCTTTGCAGTCACACTTGCCAGAATACACCCGGTGGCTATCAGTGCCAGTGTCCCGAGGGACTCAACCTGGTCGAGGAGTACACCTGCTTGGCCGAGAATCTATGCGAGGTGAACAACAATGGTTGCGAACAGATATGCCTCACTGCTCGCGGCGGTAGCTGCTCCTGTCGCGAGGGATTCAGGTTGAGTGCCGATGGCAAGAGCTGCGAGGACGTGGACGAGTGTCTGGTAAATAACGGTGGCTGCCAGCAGGTGTGCCGGAATCTTCAAGGTTCGTATGGGTGTATATGCGCCGCCGGCTATGAGCTCCTTAAGCTGGATGGCATACGCGGCTATTGCTTCGACATCGACGAGTGCTCGCAGGGAACTCATGGGTGCAGCGATCAAATGCTTTGCGAGAACCTCAATGGTTCGTACACGTGCCTCTGCCCACCGGGATATGCCCTGGGCTTGGATAACCACATAGTCACATCACTAAACACCACATTCATTACTGATTCAACCTCATCCGATGCCCCATCTCCGCCTGCATGCTTGGACATTGATGAGTGCTCCCTGGCCAATGGGAATTGCTCCCACTTTTGCCAGAATGAGCCAGGTGGCTTCCTGTGCGCCTGTCCTTTGGGATATGCCTTATCAGAGGACATGCGCACCTGCCAGGACATTGATGAGTGCCTCGATAGCAATGGCCAGTGCTCGCAGCTCTGCTTGAATCAGCCTGGGGGATTTGCCTGCGCTTGTGAAACGGGTTTCGAGCTAACCCCAGATGGATTCGGTTGCTCCGACATTGATGAGTGCTCGCAGGACTATGGAAACTGTAGCGACATTTGCATCAATCTTTTAGGTACCCATGCCTGTGCCTGCGAAAGAGGCTATGAACTGGCCAAGGACAAGCAAAGTTGCCAGGATGTGGATGAGTGTGCCGGCCTTCTATCCGGCGGTTGCAGCCACGAGTGCATCAATAAGGCAGGTACCTTCGAGTGCGGCTGTCCGTTGGGTTACATTCTCAACGACGATGAACGCAGCTGTCGTCCCGCTCTGGTGGGTTGTCCACCGGGCACTCAGCGATCCGCCGAGGGATGTGCTCCAATTGAATGTAAACCGGGCTTTATCCTGGGATCGGACGACAAGTGTGTGGACATCGATGAGTGCCAGCAGAAAAACGGTGGCTGCTCGCATCGCTGCTCCAATAGCGAGGGTTCATTCAAGTGCAGCTGTCCACCGGGCTATAAGCTAGATAGTGATCAAAAGACTTGCCAGGACATCGATGAGTGTGCTCAGGACAAGACTAGCTGTGTCACCGGAAAGTGTATTAATGAAATTGGGGGCTTCCGTTGCGAGTTCCCTAGGTTCCCTGTTTTGCCGGATATTCCCACAGCTTCATCACTGCCTGAATCGCCCAAGCCCGAAGACAAGAGGCCCAAGTATCCTGATTTCAACGAGCTGTCCAATGAAATACCCGAGCAGCCGAAGAAGCCAGTGTTCGATTTCCCAGAGACCAGTTTTACATCTTTGCCTAAGTGGGGAGATCTTCCAAAGCTTCCGCCGCTTGATGATATAACTACCACGAAGGCACCCGTTCCCCAGCTTCCTAAAGTGCCCAAAAACACGTGGGTTAATCAGCTGCAACCTAGGGATCTGTGCCCTCGGTTCCAGGCTCCCCGTAATGGCAAGTCCCACTGCAACAGGTATCGCCATAAGCAGAAGCTCTTCTACAACAGTCGCTGCCGAATTTCCTGCAATCCTGGCTATGTTCTAGAGGGTCCTGCGACCAAGAGCTGTGGCGCCAATGGAATTTGGGAGGGTCCCGAGACCAAGTGTGTTGGTGAGACCCTAAGTTAGGTAATAGATTACACAGGCTTTGTAATAACATTTATCTTTTCGCAGCCCTCAACCAACCTCGCGTGCAGAGTCCTGGAATCTGTCCCGCTCTAAAGCCCGCTCAAAATGGAGCTATATTCCCAGCGAGCTGCACTCAGGGTCCATCCCGATTTGGAGACATTTGCCAACTTCAGTGCAATGCTGGCTTCATGCCCACCGGATCCATGTTGACCGCCTGCATGGTGTTGCAAGGCTGGTCGTTCGGTACTGATCTGAACTGTCAGCCATTTGGCTACAATCGGCTTGGAAATTCTAATGGATTATTCCTGAAGGATAATTCCTTGCAGTGGAATTCTCCGGAAACAGTGATGCCTCATCAAATTCAGAAGGTGCAGCCAAATAGGCCCTTTATTAGGTGCCCGGAAAATGTTGTAATCTTACTGCATGCCGGTGAGCAGAAGGCTCATGTGACACTTCAAAGACCAGAAACAAATCTTAAGAATGGCCAATTGGTCGCCCATCCCGCTTGGGCAGGTCAACTTCAGGGTCATCTGCCAGCTGGGGTCCATAAGGTCGACTTCAGAGTTAGCGATCCGGAGACCAAACTAACAATTGGATGCCACACAATAATTACTGTTAAGGCAGCAACACCTAGAGAGTCAAATCCATTTATCTCTTCGGGAACAGCTGAATATTTAAGATCATCACTTCCAAGACCGGCGCCATTTGCGACCTTATCCACAAAAATGTCATACTCATTTCCTGCATTCAGATCCCTGGCATCAACTCCAAAACCAGTTTCCTTTACCAATTTTCAAATTTCCCCAGATTCTGAGACATTACCCTACTTGAAACAAGAGTCCCTTTCCCGGGAATCACCCTCCAAGCCAGTAAGCTTCGGTTCATTTGCCACACACAGTTCACTTCGCCAGTCGGAATTTCCTAGTTTCAGTTTCCCAGATGCTGGGTCATCTTCCCACTCCAGCCTAGAGCCCTTTTCCTCCAGGTCAGCCAAGCTAATAAGTGCTGTTCCTGCTCCTGGCGAAAGCACACGGGTGGATTTGGGTTCGGATACCACCAACTATTGTCCCCCATCCATCGAAGTATATCTAAAGGAGCACCAGAACCTGCGGTCAGTGGTGTGGGATGAGCCACGATTCGAGGGCAAACTCCTTAAAATCTATAAGTCACATGTAAGAAAAGCGAATGGCTTCTGGAATACCATTACTTAAATTAACTATTTGCAGTTTCCGGGTTCTTTGTTTAAAGTCGGCGATCACGCAATCAAATACGAAGCCACCACCACCGATGGGAAAACTTTAAGTTGCACATTTTTCGTTTACGTCAGGTGTAAGTAGATATGTTTAAGATTGGATATTTAAAGGAAATTGACTAATTCTAATAATTATTTCCTATTTAAACAGCTGCCAAGCCCACTCCTGCACCCATCGAACCCAAGATCAGTTTTGATTCCGAGCCCGAGATTCCCTCCGATGGTCCCGAAACCTATGTTGTCTGTCCGGATAAGGAGCCCGTCCGGGTGACCACCGAATCAGTGAGTCTTCCCAAGATTTTGATTTGTACATTAATTTAAAAATTGAATTTTTAGGTAAGTCTGCCCGTTGGTTGCACCCTGAAGAATGTACGTCCACAATCGAGTTCCCCAAAACAACTGAAGCGGGGCAAGCTCACTTCTCTTTGGCATCATTACACAAATTTCTGATGTCCGAAACGATTATGTAATTGTGGTGTGTAATACTTGATGCACAGTTTATACCAATATTTTTGTACGACTTTTGTATGCTTAAAGAGAAAAAAAATATTTTTTAAATATTCTGGCATTTTTCTTAAGAAACATTGACAGAGGAGCTGTATCTCATTTTGCTAAAGTGAAAATGGTTTACGAGAATATGGTAGCATTTTTAAATGTGTTGTTATTATAGTTTTGATACAGTCAGCTTTTTTTTTCTCCGCACCATGGGGCATTTCCTACAAGGGGTATGCTATCTTCGATCCGCACTTCCAGCCTTCATATTCCCAATATTGTGAGGTGTTCACTTTCAATTCAGGCAAGAATAATGGCAATTGCGAGACAGGTAAACATCGAAGTGGCTGTCAGAGGGACGGCTCGTTAGACGGCTTCCCTGGCAATTTGTATGGGTCTTTGTCTTTGGCGACAGCTTCCTCAAACACGCTTTTGAACTTGGCGAGTTGGCGGAGATTGGTACTGGGATTGGACTGGGATTGAGATGGAGCTGGCAGCCCGGGGAGGAGTTGGACTCTTTGGGGTCTATTGCACAAGACGGGACTTGGCGAGTGCTCTTGGGGGACCACCTTGGGCATAAATTGTAATTATGCCTGCCACCGCGGCAGACAATAAATCTCAAAGTATTTATCGTACAACATGACAGAAGTGGGTCGGTCGGACCTGAGCACCGAACCCAAGCCGAAAAATGTGAGATTTTCCCATTTTTTTCTGTTTTTCTATGCTACCACCTCTTTTTGCATACGAGCAGCGAAAACATTTACAATATTTAACCGCAACAATAGCATTTTTAATGCAGTTATGACTAAATGCAAAAGTTATTTTGATGTTGAATGCCTTTGTGGGGGCTGTCGCTTAAAATTGTGCGCATAACTTGGAACATGAAAAGTTACTTAGAGTCGGAGTTTGCGGGGCCTTTAATTAAAAGCGACAGGTTTCGAGACATTTTACTTTGAGATCGAGTCGTGTAGTGCTGTGTTGTGTTGGGTTGTGTTGTGTTGTTTGCTTTGATGCCGCTGCAACGCCGTTGTTGCATTGCAAGTTGCAGTTATTGTAATTACATATGGCGATGTCCAGAGCCAAGAAGCCGCACCCAAGTCGAAGACCGCTGACCCACATTTCGGGGTTCCACTTGGACTTTGAAGATGCAAATGGAACCGCATGGCATCGCATCGCATTGCATCGCATCGCGATCGCAGACGGCGCCAAATTTATGTAATCAAAGCCAAACCAAATGGATGCCATCGAAATGAAATTGCCAGCTTGGACTTGGGCTGCGACTCGGATTCGAATTTGATGATGTCAGCGGCGGCAGAAGGAGCAGAAAACCAAGTCGGAGGCGGCAGCAATCGAAAACCTAGGCAAAAAGGTTATCAATATACCAAGATCTTTTGTAAAAGTTGGCAAATTTCACTCGTAATGCAATCGCACGCAATGTGTCCACCTCTCAAATCTACAAATACCATTACAGTTGTAATGTTGTGTTGGCCAAAGGGAAAGCCACAACAAGATGAGATGATTTCGAATCTTTAATTATACCAACGAGTATGTGCGGAGCATAAATCATATTGACACTTGGTCTTAATTAAAGACAACCTACAAAAGCCCAGTTCTAGTTGGGCATTGTTGCTCTTCTTTTATTTATAGATTTCATTTTGTAGAAAAATCATAAATCAATGCGGGCGCAAGCAAACTAATAAAATTCAATTTGTAATCAGAAACCTCTGCAACGCCCTGCGAAACTGGCCGCCAGACGGGTCTTCACTTCAATCAGCAACAGTTAGAAGCCATAGCCATACAACCAAAGAACGTCTCGCTTTTGACTTCCAAGAATGCAGCTGTTCTACGTTCGATGCTCCATCCCCATCCCCAGTCCCTGTCCCAGTCCCAGTCCCATCCCGATCTTCCCGAAAAATCCATAAAAATGAACACACAAACCAGGCAGTTCGAGCTGTCAGAAAGAGCCAATGCCGCTGCTCCTCAGACGCTGCTACTCAACAAGTCCGAGTCCGAATCGGAAAACAACTATAAACACGATGAGAACAACGCGAAAAGAGCTGAGTGTTGGCTCTTTGGAGTGACGTTTTGGGCCTGGCTTTGGCAGCCAGAAGAACAAAGTCGGCGCCGAAGTGCCCATGGGCCTAGAGACGGTCGAAATCGGAGCGTGAGAGTTATGGCACTCGTCTCGTGATTTTCTTGGCCGGCAGTTGGGATACCCAAAAGCACTTGTGGCTGCCAGAAGTGATCTTTCTGGGTCAGTCGAAGGGAGCAAAAAGTAGGTGAATGCCAAACTGAAATTGATATATTTAGACAATTAAATTTAGCACTGTTCTGAAGGGTTCTCGAACAAGAAACACGGAAAGGAGACCAAAACGTAGAAGTACATTTCAATTCTAATAACTTTTTGAAAGAAAAATATCCATAAAATACGTAAGTCTATTTAATAGGACTTTACAATTCAGTGAGCAACAGTTTGGAATAACAAGTTAAGAGATTCATGCTTGGGCTGTATTTCAAGATGCTATAACCCAGTTTTTCAGCACATAAGACCATATTACCTTAGAGTGGATTAAAGGATGCATTTAGTAATATTATTTGCGAACTGTTTCTGTTACTCCTATTTCCATATCCGACTATTTCCGAACTGACCGATATTTGATCTCCATACACCCGGTTCCGCTCCCACATTTCGGATTGATTCCCATCCAAATCGGAGCGCTTGTCAGTCGGCCATCTCTAGCCGCCGGCTGGCTTTGGGATCCGTGAAGAGCTTCATTCCATTTCATTTCGGCCGGTTCCATTTGGCTGTTTTGGCCCGCTTTGTTTGCGCCGTTAACCTTGGGGGCACAGCAGCCAACCGCGACCGTCAAGAAGAGCAAAAAGTGTTAAAAAAAATTGGCAAAGAAATGAAATACCTGGGGTAAGGCAGAAGATTTGCATGCCAGCTGAGTGGGTGGCTAAGGGGAGGTGGAGTGCCACAGTGATTGACATGCCTCTAGTTGAGTTTTCTTTTTCAATTTGGCCAAGCGAGCCGCCAAGCTCTTTGTGGGTCAGGGTCAGGATAGCAAATGTCAAAGCAACCACAGATGCACACATGGCCTAAGCCGCCTCCCCACCTTTCTGAGCCACCATTTTGACCATTAATTGCTTACGCACGCGACCATCGAATGTGTGTCCACAACCATATCCCCATCCACATCTACTTTCTTTACAATTTACTCGTATTTTGGTTTATGTGTTTATCGCTTCTCGCTAATCTCGCAATGCGGCAGCCACCGGCAATCAGCAACGGTGACAGTTGGGGCAACTCCCACAAAAAGCCAAGCCCAAGGAGCCACAAAGCGAGAAATCCGAAAGAAAAAAGTCCCAGCTTTATGGCCACAAAAGTCGCCTTGCGTTTCGTCGCATGATTTATGGCGCGTAATTTGCGTGCGCATGCGCAAATTGCGCCATAACCTTTTGCTTTTGCAGCAAAAGCGGCATTGGCAGTGGCTTTCCTCGATTCCAGCAGCTTCCTGCTGACAAATGACCCACCTCCCAATCGGCTTAACCCACTGGTGTTTGGTTCTTTGCCGAGTTTTTAAGAATTTGCTGGCAATGGGTCTTGCATGTTTATATTCTGACCTAGTAAAGGCTAAACGCCAAAATGTTAGCAAATGAAAAACTCTAGTTGTCTGTCATTCTGTGACACAAGACTTTTGCTTAAATGAGCAATTTTTTCTTAGGACAAACATTGAAGTGCATAACTTCATCTGTTTAATTGCAGTAAATTCCACTGCATAAGTCTTGACAATTAGCTACCAATGTGCTGATCTTCAACTTGAAAATCTGTTATAAATTCCCTTTGATGAATTCAATGTTTAGCATGGATGGAGGAGCACAAAAGTGCTCCTTGATTAATCAAAAATATTTATGTTTTTCAATACCCCTAAGTCGTACATTTGTTTGACACCCTCAATGGGTTAATGGTGCCGCAGTGAAAGAGATCAAAAGTGTGTCACTTGCATTCTTTCGAGTTTGTCTTGAATTATTCGATATGCAACTGGCGAGCGATAACTGCAAATCGAGGGAATGCAAATGGGGATGGGGATGGGGATGAGGATTCCGGAATCGGGTGGACGGGAATTGGTCGACTGATTTATAATTTCATTGAACTATTACCAGAGCGACAGTGTTCGGGGGACAGCGCTCGCCAAATTGATTAACAATCAAAATAAATCAATACACAGCCTCGGAGCGAGAAACGTCAAAAATCGCAACGAGCAAATTGCAATTGCAACACTTTCGCTGCAGATTTTGTTTTTCACACTTGATTTACATTTTAAATTGAAAAGGCTAACCAAGACCGAAACCCAAAACCGAGCCGAAAAACGATCGCTGAAAACTGAAACCCAACACGATGGTGTTGGGTGGAAAAAAGCAAGAAAAGATATATATGAAATACGAAATTTCCAGCCGGCGGGCATGAAAAGTGCAAGACGAATTGGGCGACATTGTCAGGCGGGCAGAGTTGAGATTGTTGCCGGGATTTGGGGCATGTGCAGCACTAACGCCCGTCCAAAATCCCAGACGCCGAAGACCCCAAACCTCTGAAGCCCCCATACCCCAATCCCCAATCCTCAATCCGGAACCCCAGGGTCCAGACACTGAAGACCCGAACCACCTGATAAAGAGATCAATGGCAGGCAGGCACAGGCTGAGCTGCAGAGAGACGACCACGACCACTTCGCACAGGTGAAATGTCAATTTGTGGTGCCGCACCGCACCACGTAACTCAAGTCTTAATCGTCCACGCCATAATGCTGTTAAGCCGTCTAATTGAAGTTTCACTTTTTCCCTGACTGTCTGACCTCTGTGCAGATACATTAATTATCTGTAATGAACGTTTACACTTATTTATTGGCATTAAATCATCGTTTAACGCGCTTTAAGCATGCACTCCTCGCCGGTCCATCGCACCGTTTTTCCTCGAACGGCCTTCGGATGCGTCTGCCCGTTCAGATTCAGATACATTTATATATATCTCCGACTGGAAATGCAT